GGGGGGCAGAGTCCCTGGCGGGGAGGGGAGAGCGGGCTGACCGTCGTGCCCGCCCGCGGCACCCGCGCGCCGCGGCGCTAACGAGCGTGGGCACGGGGCGCCGCTGCCCTCCTCTGCCCTTGGAAACCCGCCTCGGGCTTTGCAGGAGGGGGAGAGCGCCAACGAGGGTGAGCAGCGCTTACTAGACTGCGAGGGGAGCCCTGCGTGTGGGGGGCAAGGAAAAATCGTGTATTCCCTTGCATACCCCTAAGAAACCAGTAGTCGTCAAAGAAAAGCCGGGAAATTATTGGGATCTCGTTTATATAAACAGCTTAGTATCCCACCTCCATTCTTGAGCCAGCTTTTCTTCCCTTGGACAAATAGCAGCAGATACTCTCTGGCCAGAATGAGACATCATGAATGTATGTGAGGAGATCTGAGGTAAATATGAGAGGAAAGCAGCTTTCAAGCCTGATTCCTGGTGATACTCAGTACATATCTTTGATACAGAGGGAAACAGAAGCCTTTTGCTTGCAGGTCAGTTGAGTTTGGCCTCATTGTGGTTGGATTTTCTTTTAGGGATGATAAATTCGGGAAACAAGTGTGTAGCTACTAAGGAGCATAGATTCTGGTTTTGGCCTTTTACCCAGAAGGCACCAGCTGATGTGTAGTCAGTCCTGGAGCAGGAAAGTAGTCATAGAAAAGCCTTTGAGTACCAGAAAAACAAACAAAAATGTATTTATGAGGGTGAGTACAATAAATAAGAGATCTTTCATGCCCATAATTTTAATTTTTCTTTCCTTCTTTCTTTCTTTCTTTTCTTTTTTTTTTTTTTTTCACCCAGGTACTTGTTTTGACAAATATGGGTGAGTGAGCTTGCTGCAGTTTCTTGACTTTGTCATCTGCCCAGTTTTGACATGATCAAACGTCTGGTAGAAGATGTGCGAGCCAGGCTGCGTTCTGGAGTGACTATCAGCTCACTGGGGCAGTGTGTTGAGGAGCTTGTCCTCAATAGCATTGATGCCAAAGCAACATGCATAGCTGTCAGGGTGGATTTGGAAGCTTTTAAGATCCAGGTGGTGGACAATGGTTCTGGGATGGGGAGAGAAGACTTAAATAAAATGGGAAGACGGTACTTCACTAGTAAATGCAGCTCAGTGGAAGACTTAGAGAACCTGAAATTCTATGGCTTTAGAGGGGAGGCTGTGGCAAGCATAGCAAACATGGCCAGCATAGTGGAAGTTTCATCTAAGACCAATAGGACAGCAAAAACTTTTGTGAAACTGTTTCACAATGGGCAAGCGTTGGAAGTCTGTGAAGCTGAACTGAGCAGACCAAGTGGAGGAACTACAGTGACTGTGTGCAATCTGTTCCATCAGTTACCAGTGAGGAGGAAGTGTATGGATCCAATCTTGGAATTTGAGAGAGTAAGACAGAAAGTAGAGGCTATTTCACTGATGCATCCTTCTGTTTCGCTCTCTTTAAGGAATGATGCCTCTTGTTCTATGGTGCTTCAGCTCCCTAAGACACGAGATGTATATTCTCGTTTTTGTCAAATTTATGGACTGGGCAAATCACAGAAGTTACGAGAAATAAGTCATAAGTCTGGGGGATTTGAACTAAGTGGTTATATCAGTTCTGAAGGACATTATAACAAGAATATGCAGTTCTTGTATGTGAATAGAAGGCTGATTTTAAAGACAAGATTACATAAACTAATTGATTTTTTGTTAAGAAAAGAAAGTGTTATTTGCAAGGCAAAAAGTGTCCCTGCCAGCAGACAGACTAGTTCAAGTCCTGGTCGCCATCGCTGTGGCCCCGAGTTGCATGGAATCTTTGTTCTCAATGTGACTTGTCAGTACAGTGACTATGATGTGTGTCTGGACCCTGCAAAAACTCTAATCGAGTTCCATAACTGGGATGTTCTTCTAACTTGCGTTGAGGAAGGAGTGAAAATATTTTTAAAACGAGAACACTTATTTATTGAACCGTGTAGTGAAGACATCAGAGAATTCAATGAAGATAATGACTTTTGTTTATATAGTGTCCCAGTTCTGAAACCTTCACTCTCTGAGGAGAAGAACATCCAAGAGAGTTTTAAGAAAGCCTGTGATGAAATTGTGGATTCTTATGAAATGTTTAACTTGCAGTCCAAAGATGTCAAAAGGAAATCAGTGACTGGAAAAAAGTCTTCCAGTCATTTTGAGTCAAATGGAAATCCAGAGGAAACTGAAATCACCCCAAATCAAATGATGGCTGAACCAACTGACGTGTGTAGGAACAATAAAACAGAGATTCTGCTGGCCAACAAAGATAGCACCGCTTCTGATGTCAGTATATCAGATATCTCAGAACAGGAAACAAAAGACACTAACAGTTCCCAAAAGGTGTTTGATTCTGATCTCAAATCTTCAGAAAATCTCTACTCCTCTCCCAGTGAAGGGGCCAGATCAGAAAAAATAGAAACAGACCATTGCGATGACCTGCAGCATTGTGCAGAGAGTTGTGTAAAAGATGTGGGAAGCCAGCAAGACAAAGTAGTGCAGAAAAGCAATACCGTCCATAACTTAAATAACAGTTTTACTCAGTGGTCATCTGAGAGACTAGAAGACCCTACTGAAACAGTAGTAGGACCTGAAATTGTCACTGGAAGTTCATTGATGGGAATGTGCAATACGAGGAAAGGAAAGAGGGAAACAACTGAAATGACAGATGGTGCTGGCAGAGGAGCTGTTAGTTCAATACCATTAAAACTGTGTTCTACGGGCCTTATAACACATGTTATGCGAAGTGAGCCGCCACGTGACTGTGAACAAATAGAAACACATCTTGCATTAAATACACACTCTAGACCTGGCCCTGTCAGTGCTATGGATATTTTTGGAGATAAAGTGAATTTTCCAATTCATTCTTTAAATGTTAAGGATATTTCCAGTAATATAAATAAAGAACATAGGCTTCCTTACAACAGAGAAATGTGCATGGCTGATGGCAATAAGCGCCTGGAGAACAAAACTTTGACAAATCAGGTGAGTGAGGGGATAGCCATGCCGACTGCAGCTGGCAAAAGGCATTGCGTGACACTGAACATCAGAGAATTGCCATTGGCAACGTCTTCTGGTATTCCTCAGCATAAAATTATGAAAAGCAGTGGAAGACAAATAGCTGAACCAAGATCTCAGCCCTGTAAGAAGCTGAGCTTGTCCATGCAGCTGGGTTCATTAGAAAAGTTCAGGAGATATTATGGGAGAGTCAAGTGTACACTACCGTTGCCAGATAAGCATGAATGTGGTCTCCCATTTTTTAATTCACAAGCTAACCTTGACTCTTCAAAGAATCAGAATGACAATCATAGTAACCTGCCCATTTGTGAAACTCCAGCTTTGGAATGTACAGATTCTAATAATAGTAGCCAAATTCTTGGTTCTTTGGAAGAGACCATATTCAGCAGCGAAGAAACGTTATTCAACAGACAAGTGCTTTGTCAGAGTAAAAGTCCTTTCACATTGACTGAGTACTCTCAGGTTTCTAAAAAAAATGTGAGTAGTGCAAGATCTCTGGGATCATTAGCATCTAAACTGTCCAGAATGAAAAGCGACCACAGAGAAGTAGAACACCTTGGTGAACAATTCCAATCGGATTCAAGTAGAAGAGGTAGCAGCTCATTCGATCTTGAATCTTCAAATAATGATTTTTTGTGTAATGGTTGTCAAATGTATAAATCCACCACGGAAAAAACAACAAGAAATTGTTTTGGCTTTTCCAAGGGGGATACTCCCTGGCAGTTGGACAGTACAAGAGCAGAGTCCGTGGAAAATACTGAGTCACCACTCAGCAGCACTGAACAGGAGTACACAATCTCCTCAGGCAGTGTTTTATCACTGCCTGATAAAAAAGGTTGTTCTAATGTCATCTGTAAAGATAGAAGTATGTTAGGTGAATCCTCAAAAGAAACTTTGAAAGCTGCTGAGGTTCCCCAAATGACTGTCCAAAGTAGGTTGGAATTCTCTGCAGATGACAGAAGTACGGGTGATCCCAAGAATGATTCGTGTTTTTCTGACTGGCTGCAAGATTTTGATGTTTCGTCAGGTAAGACAGTATACATCAATAAAACAACTGGACTGAGCACTTACGCTCCTCCTACTGAAGAGTTTCAAGCTGCCTGCACTAAAGATATAACAACAATGGCTGTGAATGTTGTCTCAGAGAATGGTAAGAGGATTTTTTTTGTCCTAAAAAAGGGATGAGGAAAAGTTTGCATTTTACTAGATGAATAAAATATCTTGCTGGCAGTGCCTGACAGTTCATGTGGAAGCACCCGTTGCCTTAAATGTAATAATAGCTGTATGGAAAACAGAAAAGCGTTGGAGTCAATATAGAAGCAGTAAAACGCTAAAATTTAAGATACTGAAAGATAATTTTTAATTAAACATTGAAAAGAAATGTTAGCATCATATCAATTAACAGACAACTGCCTGTTTTTTTCTGAGCGTCATGGCATTTATTGTGATCACAATTATATATAATTGCTGTCACATATAGAATGAGAGACATCAAAGTAAGCATACCAGATTTTCTTTTTTTTTTTTTTTTACATTTTGTCCTAAATGGCCATGTTTTTAAGTATATGTTATTAGTGTTAACTCCCATACTAAACTATAAAAATGATCTTTTTTTCAGCCTTCATAAAAAATGTTACTTGTCAGAAGAATCATATTAATAATATTTCTGCCTGCTCTAAATTCTCACTGGCTACTGGGCAAGACAATCTTAACTTTATGAATAGCGTATGTCTTGAGCAAGGATTCTCTCTGAAACAAGAAGCAGAGAAATTAATCTTTTTTCATTATGTATAAAATACTGGATTTGTGTTCATATAGGAGGATGATAGATGCTTCTGTGAACTTGTGGAGTAATATCTTTCCATGGCAATAGCTATAACAGTTCTGTCAAAGTGTAATTTAGGTAGAATTGTTCAGTTTGCCGCAGCTTAGCACAAATCACATTGGGCCATCTTCTCTTTTTACTAGGGAAGAGAGTAGTCTTAACGGTCTCCAGCAGTGAAGTCTGTTTAGAAAGAGAGCCTGTGGCTGGGTTTTGTGATAATTGGATGATGAGTTAATTTCCTATGCTGGACTGCCAATTCAGAGATTCCTGAGAGGATTTGCATCTTGTCAGTCCTTGGGGTAGAACTATCATTGCTCTATACTGGACTGAAGCCAACAGCCAAGGGTCTATATAGTGGCTGTAGGATCTCATAGAACCTTTTCAAACGACGCTTATCAGCACACAGCTGGTTTTCCTTAGCTTTATCACTCTGCCACTTTTCCTGAATGCACACCCTTAATTTCTTGGTAGAAGGGAACTTTATTAATTCATTGTTACTTCACAAAGAATAGAAGTCTGAATTGTACCAAAGGAAGGGTGAAATGTTTACCACTGTGTTGGAAATCTCAGCCACTTTTCTTTATAATCTTGATAACAATGCAGGCTTGTAATGTCATTAAATCATTTCTGGTTGGGTTGGAACATGTTGTTAGGCTAACTGTGATATCTCATGTCGTCTCAGTGACTTGTGGTTTTCTATTTTTACAAGTTCCTGATTACTGTACTAAATATTGACAACGGTGGTGGTAGACTGACAGTTCTGGCCTTCCTGAAAATAGAGAAGGCAGGAGTGTTTTGATACCTGACAAACTTTACTGTATGCCTTCTCTTTTCTTTGGGACTAAACTTTTGCTTGCACTAATTGTGGAGATAATTGTGATGATTAAAGTAGCAGCCTATTTTTAAGAAGGACAGTCTTGCAGAAGTCACCGTAATGGCAGCTGTCCTGAAAGTATTCATTGTCTAGTGTCTGTATAAGTTGCTCAGTACGTAGCTCAACTAACTCAGCATCCAGAAGTCTTAACTGAAGTCGATGAGAAAGAAAACCACAGGGAGTTTATGTACCTCTGTTGCTCTCTTTAAACAGCATCGAGCAGTGTTTGTTCATCTGTCTCATATGAATAGAAGGTCATTCAGTAGCCTGGGAGTGTGAATTTGTCAGCCAGGGTGCGGCCTTGTACATTTGCAAAAGATGAAACAGAATAAAACAAACAAACACAAATTCTACATTAGCCTATGCCTTGTTCTAAATATTGTTTACCTTCAGATTCACCATTATATAAGAACACCTATTAGTGTATAGCCGTTGCTTTTATTTCCTTCATCTCTTTTTCTTTTCTCTTTGCGTGAGAGGCACTGTAGCAGGTCTCTCAGCCATACTCTTCATCTCTTGTCTGAAAGGATCCCTAGTTTCTTTATGAGTATAACTGACTGACTAACAAGAGCCCCTTCATTCACCTCTGCAGTACAGTCTTTGAAGGTAAAGGGAGAATTCCTTAATAGCAAATGTAGACAGAATTTAGAACAAGAAGTGCTTGATACTCCTGTACTTGCTTGCAGAAGAAATTACGGATCAATGTAATTACTCAAATTTTTATTTGTCCTGCACAACATCTAAAAAATGCATGGAGTCTTCAGCAAACAGATATATCCAGGGACAAGAGTATTTTGTTTGTTGAATTAGTGAGCATTTGAATGAAGTTACTATGCTGACCATTGTGCCTACTGACTACTGACTGAGAGGGAAGAACTTCATGCATGACATTGTCAATACTATTTTTCCTCAGTATCTTTGTAATCTGTGGACTTTTTCCTTTTAAGTATTCAGTAGGTCTGATTTACATGTGAGACCCATTATAATCTTAACTTGAACAGTATGTTCGTTCACTGAGAGCCAATTTTAAGTGGATGCAACCACTCCTCGAGGATCCAAATAAGTAAGTGGGAATTATACATCGAAGCCCTTCTGAAAACTCCATTGAACGCCTACTCCTAACTCAAGACACTAAAATACCTTTAAAAGCTTTGCCTGGTATTTGTCAGTCTCTTTATAAATCACTTTGTTGCACTTCATATAAAGCACACAATGTAAGCATACCTTGCCTGTGTTTGGTCTTGGTTACATATGGCTAGAGTGTGGCAATATTTATGAAGGTGCCTCTTTCTATATTCAGTTTCCTAGGCCTCGTTTAAATCCTTCCTTAAAATAGCCTGTTTTAGTCAAGCCACAAGGGTTCTTCCAGTCACCTTAGAAATGCTGCTAGATAGAAATATTAATATATATTAAAAGGCATTTCCTGGTGCGAATCTCTCTGGTTATTCTCAGCATTTTACATATGTACTGTTATTTCTCAGTGTTAGATTGCAAATTATGTGCGTACTCTAATTTGCACAGGACTAAGCACACACTCATTTATGAGAATATAATAATAATTGTATAGCTTTTTGTAATTTTGCATGCTATTGAATCTGCAGCAGTAAATTTATATTGCGTTTAGGGGCTCAGTGCAGGTGCCATCCCTTTAGAAGTGAGATTGTGCTACCCTTCCTTCCTAGACCTCGGAAAGAGAGGACTGTAGCAAGCCAGGATCTGAGAGGTAGGGCGAGCTTTCCCGGACATAGTGTACTGGGGTAAAAAAAAATCTCCCAGATGTCCCAACAGGAACCCAGAATTACTCAAGGTCTGTTAACAATGGGACTGTGTGAGTCATCTCAAACCTAGAACTGGAAAGAAAAATCTTTTAGGGTTGAAGGCAGGTTAGGGGGTACTTATTTACAGGATGAAATACCCAGTTCTTTGTTGAATTATGTCACTAGTTTAAAGAGTAATTACCTACTCCCTTCTTTGTACTCATTCCAGCCTTGGAATGGAAAAAATAGCTTCAATCCTAACAATTTTTTTGTGTTGGAAAGGATGAAATCACCTTTTTGGTATGTGGCTTTGTTCAGAAGGAGTAAGTAGCAGAACCGGTCTTTTTTTTCTTTAAACCTTCATTTCCAGGGCCTACTGAACTGTGGTGCAGCACACTTAAGAGTCAGAAAGCTGCCTAGAGTTCTGGTTAAAACAGACAATAGAGGAATCCAGTCCCATGCTCCATTATTTATCTTTCATTCTTCCTTTTTCTAAGGGAAAACAAAATAGAATAAAATCAGTGTGGGGTAGAGGTACCCAAAATATTGGAAAGAAAACATCCTGTACCTTCTATTGAAACACATTCTGGATGGTGCTAGTCCCTATGTTATCTATATATCATTTCCTAGATACTGAAGGGGAGTCTCTCCAGTCATTGCTTTCAGAATGGGATAATCCTGTTTTTGTTCGCTGCCCAGAGGTGAGTATTATCTTGCATCTAATGCTAAAATAGGAGTTGTTTTATCCTTCTGTTATTTTCTGACATGGAGACCAAAATTGCAAATGTTGTAACTGTTGCATATAACTTATTCAGCTAAATATCAGACTCTAGCCTTGGAAGATATATCTTTTTATTGCTTATAAGTAAGTCATTTCTGTGGATTCATTCAACTTCAGAGAAAAAAAGTATCTGGCTAATCTTATGCCTTATGTTATTTGAAAAGCAAAATATTATTGTAAGCTGTCTTTCCCTCTGCAGAAACAGTCCTCTTAAAATGAAATGTTATCTGATGGCAAAATTGTAAGGTAGTGTCTGTCCTCTTTGTGGAGAGAGAAAAACAACCTATCTTTCTTCTGTGGGATGCAAGGGAATCTTAAAACTGTATTTTACTGTGGTTGTTTTTATAGCCTGGCAAGATTATAGCATGTGAGAGGGGAACAATGTTGGAGCTTTTAGAAAGACTTCCTTTGTTGTCACGAGGTAGCATTATCTTTAATCATCATGCTCTGTGTGTGTAAACATATGTATGTAACCATTTCCACCTGCAAACAATAGAGATGGAGTAGCAAACCACCTGCTGGTGAGTTTCTGAAAAAAAGCAGTTCAGTTCAGTTGTTACAGTAACAGGTGCTCTGAGTCATTTCGGGTGATACATCTTTTATAATACAATCCATTGAGAGCCTGCGTAGCCTGATAATTAACTTCAGATTTTCTGATAGGTTCTTGAAATTAGCTGAATGGATTGAAGTTAGTATGTACTATCCAGATAGGAAAGCAGGGACGAAAGTAGAGTGATTATCAGATGGTATCTTTGACTAGTGCTATTCTTGTTAGAAAGCTCAGTTTTTCAAAATACAAAGAGCTATTTCCAGAAGAGTTTTAAAACTGGTTATTTGTTTTTTTTTTTTCTGGTTGCCATATCCTCTATTGACTGCTTAATCCTGTAAATTGTCCATGTAATTCTGTTTTTACAGATTGCTGTTGATGTGACCAGCGGTCAGGCTGAGAATCTGGCTGTGAAAATTCATAATATCTTGTATCCTTATCGTTTCACCAAAGACATGATTCATTCAATGCAGGTACAATAAGAGCTTTCACCCCAAAATTCTCACTCAGCAGATGGGATTTGCTGATGTTTCTGCTTTGTAGGAAAGAGGTATCCAGGGACATTGTTCGTAACCTTAATTTTCACAGGCTCGGATAGAATTCTTGGTTGGTACAAGACAGCAGGCATGTATATTGAGCCAGATCTTGGTATCTTTTCATGGATAAACAACTATCTGCAAAGTGACTCTAAAATTCCTTGACTAGATGGTTAAATCAAATCAAGAGGCAGCCCTGCCCTGTTACTGCTGCTTTGAAACACTGTTGGGCCCTAAGTGACAGTTCAACAGGCAGTTTTTTACATTTATTGTGGGCATTTGTTTAGTTAATATGCCCCCAAAATCTATGTCCTGTGTGTTTTATTTTTATTGATCTTAGAAGGTTAATTCTTCAGCAGAGCGGTTTCAACAGCAAATCTCAGATTTCATGGAAAGACTTGAAATTTCCTTTTAAGACTTATATCTGCTCTGAAAAGTGATTCTTAAAAATGGCACTACAGCATGAAGCTTAACTGTGTTTTCGTGCTTATTTATCAAATATTTTGATTATAAACTAAAAAGCTAATGTAAATGTACGCTTTCAGCTTCTATCCTCGGATGGTCTGTCTGGATAAAAATGTCAAAGTGAATTCTTTCCCTCCCTTCCTTCTTATCTACTAAAGGCTTACAGGAAAAGTTAGCATTATTCTCATGTGATCAGATTCCTGATTTAGAGACTGTGGTTGTGACTGGGTGGAACATGGTAAAGTGTCTTGTTGATCTCCAAGACACTCAAGGATACAAATGATTCTCTCTTACGTATCTGTGTGCAGTAGTAAGGGGAGGAAATAAAGTTATTAGAGGAGACAGATATGTCTCAAAAAGACAGGAGAGGAAAGCTGAAAAACAGAGGATACCATTTTTCTTTGCATTTCTCGTAGTAAGAGCTGCTCTTTAAAACTTACCTAGCAGTTCTGTGGTTAACTACCTGAGTAGTGCTTTCCTTTGAAGTACTTAGGAAGATAAAGCTGGAAAAAATTACCACCTGCCCTTTCTCTGAAGAAGCTAATAACACCTTCAGTACCTTATAGCAATTATAAGAATCTCTGTAGAAAAGACCAAAAGCACAAAATGTTGCATCGTGCCACAGGAAGAGAATAAAAAAGATCATTAATGTCTTGCATCCCTTCAAGGAAATGCAATTATCTGTTCATTTTTACCTAGGAGGTGGAGCATGCACGTGTTCTGAGACAGAGTATTCAGTGAGCTCTTGTGCATCTGATTTGGAGAGAAATTCCTCCCTAACATCACGTTTGTTACTTTAAATAGATATTCAAAGCGTATACGTTATTGCCCAGTATTCTGTCTGTAGCTCTGGTTGTTTTCTGATGCTTCCAGGGAAGGTGCATCCACAATGCTTTTCTTTGACGTTTTGAAATGTTCTCTTAGTTCCAGACTATGACCAATTTATGGTCATTTGATCTTCTTCCAGTATATTCTTTAGCTTAAATAACCGTACCTGTTCCATATTTACCCCCAATGTATTTATAAAGAATCATTATATATCTTTTTAGCCTTAATTTTGCTAGACCAAATCTTCTATCTTTAATTGTCAAATCTTTAAGCGTCTCTAGTTAGATGTGATTTCCACTCCCCTAATCATCCTAATAGCTCTTCTCTGTAATTGATCCGTTTTGATTGTCTATTGTTTACCTTAGTTTTAAAATTGTTTTACCACTGGGTAGCGATTGTTCTGAATATCTTACAGGTTCTTCAGCAAGTGGACAATAAATTTATCGCATGTTTAATCAACACTAGGAATGAAATGGATAAAAAGGCAGGTAAGAGTAGTTATTAATGTTGAGGAAGCTCTCAAGTGCAGTTTCATTGCAGAGGGAACAGTGTCCTACTTGTATTATCTTCGTGCCTTAGTTAGTATTGTGAGTAGAGGAAAACGTTAGCCTTCATTTGAAATTTCCTGGATCGTCTTTCTCTTTATTTTGGATGTTATTGAATGTTCCTCCTGCTTTCAGATTAGCGTTATAAAAATAGATTATACTCGAATTACTAACGTCTTTCAGATTATGTTCACAGTGCCTGGATATATTCATTACCGAAGCTTTCTGGAGCTGTATAAAAAAGGCATTGAAAATCAGTAGTTTCATAATGTTTTAAAGTCTGTATTAAACAGAGCAGTTGTTTATTACCGCAGCTGTTATTTTTGAGTTAGACGAAGATGTCATTAGACACAGTTTTCAAACTCACTCTGATTACCCTTAATTTAAATGCCATATTTGGACTGCTGAATTTCAGTTCTGTAGTGACTTTATGTTCTGCTAACGCAGCCTCCTCCTCACTTCGTGTCTGTAAAACTGGCTGATGTTATCTTCTAAATGTGGCTTATGGGGAGGGGTCATTCTCCTTCACAGCCTGCACAGCTGTCTGGTACGAAGAGGCCTATTTCTAATGTTTTCTGATACGTTTTTAGGTGGAAACCTCTTGGTTTTGGTGGACCAACATGCAGCTCATGAACGGATCCGCCTGGAGCAGCTTATTGCAGGTGAGGATTTTGCTCGTCTTTGGAAAGATAATCAGGGCTCAGCAAAGTGCAAACAAGAGCTGTCTTACAAGAAAAGCTTGCTAACTGACTTAAAATAAGGATAAATCTGGAATGAATGGAACAAGCAAGATCTTTGCTTGTCATCTTTATTCTGATCCCTGGGAGAGTGCAGGCGTTCAGTATTTGTAGCAGTTAGAGTATTGGCAGCTGAAAATTGTGACAGTGTTTCCAGAAACGGAAGATGTACTCCCTACCCACAGAATTATGAAACTAAAATAGTCCTGACATAATGAGAGAGGGGGAAGACTGATAAGAAAAATAATGGAGAGGAAATAGAGCAGTATCAATAGGATTATGTGGTTATGCTATGAAGGGTAAGACATGGGATGCAGAGTAAAGAGCATCGTTTATTTGGTTTCTTTTTAGCTGAATACCATGCTTAAAGCCTAAAATTTCCACATTCTGGAACTGTTTGCAGAGAGGGATAATGGTGTTTTCTGTAAGCTCATTAGCCTTTGGTTTCAGTGTTAAAGAGCATAATAGCCATCCATCAAGTGCTTAAAAATCATTGACCTTCTCTTTCATCAACAAATACTATGCAATCCCTGCAAAGAGGATTCCAGGAACTCTACTCCTTTTGGCCAGGTACTGAACATGGTTAAAGACTGAAGGGACAAATGCTTAATGAATAGTATTATAATGCCATTCATATCAAATTATTCTGTGAAAAAATGGCTCTCTGTGAGTTAACCTAAAAATATCAGTAGTCTTTTGCTATTTAGGGTGACTCTTTTTTGGAACCGGTGGGAAAAAACAAAGTGACGTTAACCAGCCCCTCCCCAGAGACTAGATGTCTGGTCTGTGACATTCCCAGTCCTCCGCAAGTGCCAGGAGAAAGAATTCTGTGGTCACTGTTTAATCCAAACAGGGGATTACATGTCAAACCATAGGGTCATTAAGGGTAATGCCTGCATAAATGTTCTAAAAGGGATACTTCTGACTGTTTCATTCACAGATTCCTATGAGAAGGAGACTGCAGCATGCGGCAAGAAGAAATTATTGTCCTCTTCCATCTCTCCCCCTTTGGAGATTGAAGTAACAGAGGAACAAAGAAGATTCTTACGGTTAGTAAGGGCGAGTAGCTCTAATCTCTTGGGGAAGGTTCTGTTGACCAGGAAGATCTCTCTGTATTGCTAGGTTACCACAGCTGTTGATTTTTCCTGAGCAGAGACCCATTGGCTATGTCTACACTGTGTAAAATAGGTTGCTTCTTAGGCACATCATTACAATATGTCAAGACAAAACCCGGTTGTGCCAGCTCCATGTTACTGCATTATGCTCTGATTTCCCTGGGAAGAAAATCTGGATGCGTGGGCAGCAGTTTCCAACAGATCCTACTGTCTGGGGACCAGGACATGGGAGTGCACACTGTAGATCTAGGCAATGATTTGACAGACACCATCTGAGAAGAGAAGGATGGGGTATGGAAAGTTTGCATTGTGAATCCTTAAAAACTGCATTCCTTAATCTGAGGTGTCCACACAGAGTAACTCGTGAACACAGTTTCCCAAATGTTTCAGAATGGTGGACTAGCTACTGTTAGGAATTTTACCTTTTGTACTGCAAGAATTTAGATTAGATACTTTTTTTTTTTGTGGATTACTAAAGAACTACTGATATTAATCAAAGATATTTGTTTTTAAAAAATCCGTCTATCCCCTGCCACATGTTTAGTGTTTTTTTTCCCTGCATTGTTCTTCGTGTTCCGATGAAGTTCTCTATTAACATTCACAGTTGTGAACATTCTGTGTTTTGTACAAATTTGGTTGCCTCGCTGTTCTTCTTTTCCACATCACTAGTAAACAAATTTGAAGATACAGAGCTGGAATCATGTCATGTTGAAGGCTGACCATCTGTTGCCAGTGTACCTTTTTTTCTGTCCCAGTTTCTAATTCATGACAAATATTACTTCTCTGTCCTTGACAACTATATGCATTTCTAGACACTTCTGTGAGACTGCAGCAAAGGCTTTTTGAAAGCCCAAATAATTCTCTAAGCTAATTTTCTGTATCAGCTATTTCGCAAACATATTAAGAAAATTAGTAGGCATGGCTTGCTTTCATGGAAGCTCGTTAAACTATTCAGCACAGTGGGATCCCACTTATGATTTTACATTACTACTTAAGATAATTGATTCAAAAAGTTTATTGGTGCTGGCAAATACTGGTGCTAGCTTACTGGTGCTTATTTTGTGTTGCTTATTAAATAGCACGTATTTATTGGCAGTTCCTCTCTTGATAATCAGTCTGTGAGACTATGCTAACTAAAAGTTACTAATTAAAAGCACCGTTCAAGACCTAAATACTATTGCTACTCTTACTTGTAAAGTAAGATTGTATTCTGTGGTGAAGGCTGATGTAATGAAAGAATTTAACTTCCCTGAAAAACCTTTCTCTTCAACTGTGCTTACTATTCAATAGTTCAGTTGGCCCTCTGATTCACTTGCAGCTCTCTTGATTTTGGGTATTGGGCTATTTGTCCAGCTAATTGCTGCTGAGCTCTACAAATTATTGCAGACTGGGTTCTATTGTCTCTCTTGAACTTGACTTCCTTTTCTTTTTTCTTGGAAAATGACCTGAGTGACTTCAGTAGTTCCTTGGATTCTGTCATTTAACCAATAGGACTTTCCTGCCTTTCTCCTCTCTTACTTAAGGCTATACATGTCTTCCTTGTTTTTGTTAGGATTACACAAGTCACCTCCATGTGGAACCTAATAATTTTATTATCCTCAATAATGGATTTTAGTTTTTTAAACTAGCTTCTTTTTTGTTCCAAGAGTCTCTTTTCTAAAATCAGTTTTCGCTACCCTTTTCTGAGTGAATCTTCCCTGAGTTAAAATAAACTATGTTATTATAGTTGTTATCTACTATTGCTGATGATGATAACGGCAATTCCTTCTCTTTCATTTTGATGACAAGTTCCCATCTGATTGTGAAGTCCAGTTGTGGTATTTTTTCAGCTACAGGATAAAATATGTCAAATTGACTAGAGGTTGTTCTTACCTGGGCACTCTTTGTTTTATTTATTGAGATGTAAGTTCTTTAAATCAGCATAAATTTCTTAACAGTATTTTTTCTATCATAAGCGTTTGCTGTTATTTATCAATTTAAATTACAAATTTTATTAGACTTAAAGCAGTCTTTATCCTGTGTAATTGTAATATGTGGAGAGTGTGTGTCCGTGCATAATATTTTGGTAGCTTTTACTGGAACTAAACACCTATTGTATCTTTAGGGGGAAAAAAAAGTTAAATTTAAACATATAGCTTCTCTCTGCATAATACAGGAACTCTTTGACCTTGTAGCTATGGTGCATGCAATGTGCACAGTTGATTGGAGTGAAAAATATAGGTGACTGTAGGCTGAAAAGGCCATGTTACTTGGAATCTCACAAGGCATGGATTGGGAGATTGGGAACTGTTGCAGGAAGAAACCTACATGGAGACTACAGAAATATTTAGCTAGCAGGTGCGGAGAGGTAGGTGCCCTGATGTCTTATATCTGATTTTTATTTTTATTTTTTGCCAGATGCTGCCACAAAAATTTGGAGGATTTAGGCCTTGAATTATCATTTCCTGAGACCAACAGCTCCTTGATTCTAGTGGGGAAAGTGCCATTATGTTTTATAGAAAGAGAGGCCAATGAAATACGACGGAAAAGACAACCAGTCGCTAAAAGCATTGTGCAGGTCAGCTGTGGATATAGATAAGAGCAAATTATTTTGTGATGGTGGATTTTGTTTTGTGTTAATGGTCCAAGGTGCATCTTAACAGTATCTCTGTTATGAGAGAGACAAAGAAGTCTTTCCGCAAGCATGGATGCCATCCCTTTTAGTAGCAAAATGTATGTCTCCTAAAACATCTCGTCACAGAAATCCCTTAACTATAAAATAAATGACTAGAGTCCATTGCAGACTTGGAGTAGTGGAGAAACTAAAAAAATAGTGTACAGTGCAGATGTTTCATCAATTCACTGTTCACCTTCCCTGAGTGCTTGGATTAACAGTAAAATAGTTAATATTGCTGATGTGTAAATATTGTTTTTTAGGGTTTAAAGTTATTTTTGTGAAAAATCTACATGGACAGTTCAGCTTTCTAAAAGCTGCTGTTCCCTTCACTAAATGCTCGCAGTTTCCATTATAAAGATTTGCTCCACAACTGCTTTAAAGACTCTTCCTTAAAATTAAATACTGGAGTACTAGATTCAGCCACTAGGCTGAGCCATTGTGAATCAGTCCAGTCTCACCATACATCTCTTCATCTCCTCTAATATAAAGAGAAGATAGGAGAAGATGATGCATCTGACTAAATTTCCTTTTCCAGTCCTGCTATAATCAGGAAGTAGACAAAATGCACTCTCTTGGTGTGATCTAAACTCTTTCTTATTCCTGTGACAGAATAAGACCCACCAAGAGCACTGAACCTAGCTGGGGATCCAGTCTGTGCCTCATTAAGCACTCTTCTTTAGCTGAAGCCTAAGCACCTGAGCCTCAAGATGTCATGAGCGTTTTGCCAGATCTATTCTGCAATCCTTTTTTTTTTTTTAAATTAGGATTGGTAACACCCATTAATAATTATGAATTCATTGCATGTTGGTCATTAGAAATGAAAGCCACACAGACTGTTATTCAAAGAAGAAATGGCAATTATTCAAAGAACAGGTTTCCAAAACACTCTGAGGTAGAAGAGTTCCACTGTACTCATTTTATAGATAGATAGCAAACTGAAACGAAGTGATTTGTCTAGAGGCAAGCAAGATGCTTGTGAGAGGGCAGGACTTGCACCAAGGTCTTTCACGCTTACAAAAGAGTCAGTGTACTAGCCACTGGATTATCTGTCCTGGGGAATATCCAGCATTGACACAGTAAATATACAAGGATGTGGACAAAGCAGTGTTTGGGAAAGGAAAGGGGAAAACAGCAACTGATTATTTTGCCTTTTGCTTTCCAGGAGTTTATTCAAGAACAAGTTGAGGTGAGTTGCCGTCTGCTTCTAAAATTGCCTGGAAAAATGGAAAGCTTTACTGCATGAGCCACAGGGAGTTACTGTGTTAAACATCAGACTGCAACAGTTGAGAGATGTGGGCTAGATGATCCACTACCTTTTCCTCATTTTTAGCTCCTTCAGTGTTACAGTTCTCCCGTTTTCACATTAAATGGAAAGTAAGATCACATTCTCTTGCTACTTTTAGCTAGTGCAGACCACAGGAGGAGCACGAGGGACACTGCCACTGACTTTTCTGAAGGTGTTGGCTTCCCAAGCGTGTCATGGTAGGGAAACTGTGTTTTTTTTTTTTTTTTTTTTTTTACCTTTCTCCCTCTATACAACGTGCTCCCTGGGGCAGTAGTTTTCAGAATGTGCTTGCAGCAATTCCAGGACAAACTGTATGTGTTACATAAGGATATGGAGAAAGCGGTCTTTGCTGGACAGCACTGTGAGGGACAATCAATACTGCGTTGATTTGTTCCTGTATGGGTCTAATTTACGTTCTTACCCACACTTGACGCACTGACAGAATACAGCTCTGATACGCACGCTTCCACGTGAGCTGTAAACCATTCAAATGACTGGTCTGTGAAGGAGCAGAAGGAGGTGCTAGGAACTGTTTGGAAAGCAAGCAGAAAAGATTTTAGAAAGTCTTCCAAAAAGCATTTTTAATTTGTCTAAGTACCAAAAGTGGTGGTGCGAAAGACTGGTTTAAGTGTGTCTGTGACCTTGACAGTATTTTTGGAGGCCTGCTGTAGGAATTTGTGTCTTCCAAGGGACTATGGTTTTCCAAAACCTCAAAATAAGCAGGTCTTACAGGTACAGAATGCAGTAGCTCCAGCCTTTTCCTTTGCCCTATATTGTGTTACAATTGTATTACAAGCTCATGCTGAAAAGGTAAACATGACCCAAAAGCATCTATATCACTGCATTCTACAAATGGCAAAGGGTATATAAAACTTCTTATACCTAAAAAAGTTCCATGACTGAAAGGCAGGATGCAACTGCAGAGTCTTCTGTGTCTGTGAAGGTTAAAAATTGCAAACACCTATGAAATGACTCCTTAATGTTGTTTGGATTTTTCTCTAGATGCCCAAGTGCCCACTTGTGAAAAAAGACTTAAGGATGGGCTAGCATTTGGTCTTAAAGCCTACAGATCTGATATTAGCTGTCTTGTTGTTTTAATGCTTTCTCATTTGTGAATTGGTTGCGTCTTCAGCCCTGAATTAAAAAAAAAAAATGCCTATTTGCCTCTTGCAGCATCACCTGAAAAGCCAAAAGCTAATAATCCTGCCATCCATGAGCCTTAGGTTAGATGAAGCAACTTAAGCCGTGGAAAGCTGATCTTTATGCAGCAGTCTGGTTAATTCAGCTAAGCCCTTTGCCTGGTATACTGCAGCCTTTGCTGCTATTCTGTGGTCTCCAGGAGCTGCCCTATGTTTTCTTATTGTGTAGATTAACAGTTGTGGAGGGGAGTTTGCTGGGTGGTTTGAATTCTCTCTGGCAGAACATGCAAGAACTTGTCTCTTGTTCTAGGAGCTATTAAGTTTAATGACAGTTTGACTTTGGAGGAGAGCTGTCAGCTCATTGAAGCTTTGTCGTCTTGCCAGCTGCCCTTCCAGTGCGCTCATGGTAGACCTTCCATGATGCCCCTTGCAGACATAGACCATCTCCAGCAGGAAAAGCAGGTACAGTGTGGAGCACTGGTAAAAGGCAGCACGTGCTGGGTTATCAGAGGCGTATCATATATCTGTGTTAAAACTAAAATGGACTAATTAAAAAGTGCCACTACTGGCCATTTCATACTTGAATTTCTACATAGCTGTTGCAAGTAAAATAAAATACAGAAAATTAAACTTCTGTTCTACAAACATTTTAGCAAGGGTCTTATCATATTTCATTGAAATGGTCACATTAACTTGAATGGGTTCCACTAGTACTTAGTTAAGCGTATATTTAAAATCCTTGCATTTTTTAACTGTAAAACTTGGAAAACATGTAAACTCTGATATTCTACTAGTGGCAAATATGCCAATTAAACAAACACCTACTTCCCTGAAGTTTAAGATGCCATAAAATGGTGAAGAAGGGAAAGAAGTAACAAAATTTAAATAAAACAAATTATAATCCCTTCCCCTTTGCTATCACTATGCTGTATTAAATTGTGAAACTGTCTTCCAATTGAAGTTGCATAGGACGTGGAATTAGATAAGGAAGAAAACCCTGGGAACGTCTGTATTAGGGCAAAGATTATGGAGACATTGAAGTTTTTTACTTGGTTATGATGTTTTTTTTTCCTCCAGCCTAAACCTAATTTGGCTAGACTGCGGAAAATGGCACAAGCATGGCACCTCTTTGGGAAAAAAAAAGAACTTAACCAAAGAAGTGAAAACCATAAACTGCAATCACCGAAAGCATTGATACGATCCAGATTTTCCTGTTAGACAGCAATACCTTGTGTGGAGCTAAGTTTCTCATCTAGTGCAGTAACTGAAGTTCTGCCCTGCGTACTGACCTAAGAAGCAGAGGCCAGCCCGGAGAACATGGCAGAAGGAGCCCGTCCTGGTAGCCTGGAGAAGCGTCTTCAATGCAATTCCTTAACATTGTAAACCTGGGCATTATGTCAGTGCTTGACTATAAAAGGCAAGAAGTTGCAGCCACTTCCAGTTACTAAAGTACTTTTTCCCTCAGCAAGTGCAGCGGAACTTTGCATAATAGGATATTTTTAATGAATGCAGAAATACAGCCAGCGCTTTGAAAATGGGGAGGTATTTATTAATAAAATTAATGCTAAACTCTTTTCTTGGGCTCATGGCAGTGGTTGGAATGAGGACTGACCAGCTTCATCATTTATACAGGCAAACTAAACATTTAAAAAAATTCTCTTTTATTTAGCTATGCAATGAATGACACACCCAGCTCTTTTCTCTACCTCACTGCACGTTTTATTCTTGAGTGAGATTTCTAAATCCTAGTACAAGTCTATGTTTTCAGGGTACAGAAACTCACCCCTAAAATAACTACATAGCCCAAAACATTTATTAAAATAAGCAGACTTCTTCACAGGTTCCAGTTCCATTTTGTATCTCAGTCTAAGCTGGAGAGGAGTTTACTTCAGAACAGTAAAGAGTAAGTCTTTGTTTAATCGCAGATATCTTTGGTCTATGTTCTAAGTTCTGTTTAAAGACAAATCAGCTTGCTACATCTGCTGCAGCAAAAGCAAAACAAGGAGTAGAAACTACTATTTTTTTTTAAACCTTAAACGTGTAGTGTATTGCCGTGCATTGATAAAAGGGACAAAGGAAAAGTTTTATCACCAGCTGGTTAGAGCTTGAGATTTGGAAGACCTTCCATGCTACCGTTTAGAAGAAGCAAGAGCTTTCAGAATGAAACAAGATGTCTGCCCAGGAAGAATTGGCATCACAGTCATTTGTTAGTAGAGGAAAGGGAAGACAGTCAGACTACAAGCAAAGCAAGAATTTGAGCGCTGCCTTATACACAGTAGTAAACAAGCTAGTCGTTGGGAGTTTCAGAGGTCTGCTTTTCATGAAGAATGGAATTTCTGTTCCAGCATTTTACAAAAAGCCAATTTGTATTTCAATAACTCCACAAAAATTGTCAGGAAATTCCTCTAAAGTGTTCTGTTTAAGAGCACTGCCATTACACTCATAGCTGAAAGCAGACCTTAAAGCCTGCTATTGCAGTGTACGTGCAGGCAACTCACTATACTGGTAAATCTCCTGCTAGTTAAAGAAACAAATTAACTGTACATGGAAGATACGCTAAACAGTGACATCACCGTAAACAGCCTTTATTGCAGCACACTCTGAAATAACAGCTTGGCTTCTGCAGAAAATTACATGTATGCCTTGCTGGTTCAAAGGCAAAGTGGATTAGCAGCTCCACGTGGCTCATAACACAGCAGAGGGATCAAGACCTGTGCAAGAGCTCTGCTTTCTGTTGTTTTTGGGTAGGAAAGACATTACACTGAGCAAATTTCCCTCTGATGAATGGCAGCCCATCTTTGCAACACATGCTTTAATTAGCTGTTGTATCTTTCTCAAGGTAGGAAAAGTCTGGACAGTGACTTGCTTCAAGGCATTAGAGTTCACAGTTCATAGTCATCTGGATGGTAGAGCTCACTCATGAGGCGGTAGATATAGGAAGGCGCATTACCCCCAATGTTAGAAATGAAGAGAGTAATGAGCTCTGGAGGGACGTAGTCAAACACTGGGCAGTGAACATTGATCTTTGCCAGGATATCCCCTGAAAAGCGAATAGTAACAGCATCAGACAAACGGTTCAAACCAACAAAGTAAATCTGACCTTCTGCATGTCCTCCTGAGCTCCTGAGGTAACTGCCTATACATATGCCACCCAAAGTTAGTACTGAGATGTCCTGAATCCTTTCCAATTTCCTCACTAGATGCATTTGAATTACAGGTATTTAGCAATCCTGGATGAATAGCAGCACTCTCCTTTCTTTTAATAGTTTTAACTGATAGTAATCCCAAATCCCCTCAGGCGTAGGTTCACAGAGAACCTTCCAATATAAAATTAAAATACAAGAATCCTGATGCTGCCAAAGTTACTATTTAAACAAAACACTCAGAATGCCAGAAACAAAAACCTGAGCCAAACCTGACATACTCATTTCAGAAGTCTGCCCTCATAAAAATGGGGCTTTGAAAAGCCGATTGCTACCTGAAAACAGGCTTGGTAGCTGCCCCCTTTCTAAAGATGGTACTTGTGTAGGAAGTCCATCGCAGACACGCTGAGTCTCAGCAAGTAGCTTAAGTAACAACATTTAAAGAAGCTTCCCACAGAGTAAGTTGTGAGAAGGAAAGCAAGCTGCCCCAGAGTGGTGCATGTCTGCTTTGTCCTGCAGGGAATTGCTGCATGGCACCATTATCACAATCTGTAATAAGATGCCGAATATATCAGATCAGAAACAAAACTGCAAAGACGGTGTTCAAAGAAAATCCTTTTTCCATACTTTCCAGAAAGTTTCATATGAAATAGGACGGTTCCCAGCATTTTTTTCTGCTCAAGAAAACATGAAAGGGTTTTCTGTCTGTTTAAGGATAGTTACAGGTGGTCTCTATACAGGTAGATGGTTACAGTATAGTCTTATCTTTAAATGTTGTGTCAGCTATAAAACAAATACGCAAACCAGCCAAACAAACACCTAGTGCCTGGACCAGCGTGACCACCTTGTATAAGGAAGAACCAGTACCTTCTGTGAATGGCAGCACTTCTTGAGGTGACACAAACTTGTGGAATGAATCTTCTTCATTAGGAAACTGAATGAGACAAGAGAGTAGAGTACAGTAAGGTCAGGAAAACAGAGACCATCTCATTATCCTAGTGAAAACAGATCCTAGGTGTTGCAAGAAAAACAGAGGAAAAAGACACTGCTGCTCAGTTTATAATAATTATATCCTGCTTGTGTAGAGAACCTGTGTAACATCTATGGGTGAAAGGCAGATTTTCTCAAAGCTTTTACAGTCTCCTGTGTCCTGGCTGCTCTACTGCAAAGCCTGGGGAACTGGAGCAGAGACATGCCTTTCCCAGTCTGCATCTTGATCTGACAATATGGAAAAAACACCCAAGTGCTGCGAACACTTGAAAGCATCTCCTTCTACCTTTTCTGTAGGTAAAGACAACTCTTCCACCATTTAAGATATAAATTGAGATCCGTTATGGTTAAAGGAAAATAAGTATGGAGATACTAATCTCTAGAGTGTAAGGATGGAGACCAACGTCTACTACACACAGTAACTCAGCGCATTTGTCAGTTTTTGCTGAAGGAAGGAACCTAGAATAGCAGGGAGCGATTCAAAGAGATCTGAGCTGTGGTAAATTTGGACGAGGGTGCCCTAGTCAGAACAACAGTGTTGGAGGGATGGCTCAGTTACTAGCCTGGCCTTGGGGCAGGTGGTGCTCTCCACCCTGAGCTTCCATAAAGACCCCCCTACCTCTCCTCCCCCGTCTCTATTTAGAGCAGATGCAGTACCAAAAAGCTGCCGTACTTACCTGCGGTGAAAGCTTGAACATAGGGGCACACACTATGAGTGGAGTAGAGTGGTGTTTAGCTGCCAGTGCCAGAGTGTGAGTCCCACTCACAGCAATCAGCGCGCCGTTGGCCAGAATTGTCTTTGTACCGATGATCACCTTAAAAGGCAAATTAGCATTAGATAACAGGCTCCACAGCAAACCGGGGAAGGAGGAGAAGAGCTTCCTGGCTTGGACCCTACTGGAAGAATCACAGGAGGAGCCTGTCAGAACAGACAGCCAAAAGCTAGAATTCTAGTAGGGCTATTAGATGCCTGATCCGTTTCATCTGGCCCTGGCTCTGCAGTGAGATGTTCTTCTCCAACAAGAGTGTGATTCCGCATGGTGAGGCCAGCACAGAGCACAAACATACATTCTACTGGAGGAAATGCCAAGCAGAAACCTGGGTTGTGTTTCCTCTCCTGCTACAAGCCCATGGAATAAGGTTGAGCAAGGAACTCGATTGCTGAAGGCAACAGATCCCTTACTGTAAAATGGGAAGAATACAGTAGGGGCAGCTTGAAATACAGAGATAGGGATTTTGGGGGCTGGATTTTATTGTACTTTTTCTTAGAACTCTGAGTGCAAAGTTTGTAGAGTATCGAACACAGGCCTCTTCAAAAGAATGCACCTCAACATTATTACCCCTCACTGCTCTGCCTTGTGTTCTAGGCAAGAGGAGCTCATCCCCTTTGGAAATGGTCCTTTTTGTTCCATCTTCTTTAGGAACTCTGAAATTAATCCTTTGAGGCTCTCTGGGCTCTGTGTCTTGTAATTGTTTTGTCTGTTAGCCACTGAGGAAGAAAGACAGCAGAGAACATCCTAACTGATTAAAACCTATCACCATACACTTGGCCATCACACTGATTTGGGCTGGTACACTGAATCTCCACTGTGTTTGTGAACAGGGATTGTCACAACTTTTAAGTCTTCAGTGGAGAAACACAGCTACCACTGATGGGAGCTACAGCTGGTTAACTCTCACCTCCAGCTAAGCCCACCTTACCTTGTTGACTCGAGACATGACAGCAAAAATAGCTGCATCACTCATGACGGTAGTTTCAATATTCTCTTTAGAAAGTCGGACAGCCATTTCATGACCCTAAGAAGAGCGAGAATACATTCAGTCCCCAGGAACAGAACTGCATTGCAGCTGTAGAGATACTAATTCTTCCCTGAACTACAAAAATAACAAGCGATAGAGCACAATACAGCCGTACGCCTGAAGGACAACGAGCTGTCCTTCCTCTCTCAATTGCTGAGGAGCTTCCCCTTGCAGAAGGCCCTTGTATGTGTTGTGCTCACAGCTTGTTCTCCAGAGGCAAAAAGAGTTCAGTAAGAATGCCTGGAAGAACACAGGGCCTGGAGGAGACGGCCAGCCTGGGTCTTACCTGACAGAAAGGTGCACACTCTGCCACGATGACCTGGAACTTCCGCTTGCGGGCAGCTTCCTTCAGGAAGGCCTCAACGGTACGCGAGTAGCCAATGGTCATAATCACCTCATTGGAGTGGATGTGCTCCAGCGCCTGCATGGCAATGTTATCGGTGGTGCCCTCTGTAACGTAAGGAAGCCACCAGTGGAAAAGAAGCCAGGCCCAACATCTGTGCTGAATCCAGCACCAGATGATGCCAGCAGGAGGAGAGGGCACTGCGCGGAGCGCAGTGGATCCCCCTGGAGCACACATAGTTCCACAAGATGCAATGCACTAATAAGATGCTTCAGGAAAAGCAACATTTGTGCTCTGAAGGCTGTCCTCCAACAATATCATTTTTCACTAAAGCAATGCTACAAGCACTGGAAGAACAGGAGCAGCTTTACTCTCTGTTCTTTTTACCAGTGAAGACAGACTAGAAAGCTGCCTCTCAACTGTCCTGTGCGCCTTAGCTACTCAGGAAAATAGACATGTCGAGAACTTCATCACTAGGGGAGCAGATCAGGTCAACACTACTCCTGAGAACCACTATGCCCACAGAACAACTAGTGACAGAAGTCCACAGATTTCACAGCCTAATAGCGCTAGAACCACATGAAGAGGAGATGCTGGGCAACGTGGGCATCAGAAGGAAGGTTGGACTCCTGATCTGTTTAAAGACTGCAGAAAAAGAATGCTTTCTGCACAAAGGTCATATGAACTCATAGCAGTTAGGCACAACCTTGGTAGATTTTTGATATTCTTCCTCATAGGGCTCAACTCAAGGCTTCTCAGACAACCAACAGCACAGGCACCCCTTCCTCCCCCACTGTTCCACCCTTCTCCCAGACAGGGCGTGCTGCTCCCAGGACAGGCATTCCTTCAGACTCAGCCTCCCAGATCTTCACTGTTTTCTTTCCAGCTAAAAGCAGTGAGAAGCATCAGTTCCATCCTGTAAGCAGTTCTGCTCCTGGGGCAATTCAGACTCAGCCATACCTAGCTCTATTAGCAGCTCGTTAATAGCTTCAATAACATTAGCTCTAAGGAGAGGATAATGGGTGCTGAAGTCCTCGCTCAGTCCTCCAGAAGTCAGAAGTTTGTGCAGTGATTCTTGCTGGTCGCTTTCTTCACTGCGCCCGTGAAGCCTGCGGAGAGAACGCAGCCCTTCAGGGTAGGAAGGGCGCACACGGGCGCTGCCAGTCTATCGCCAGCCAGCAGGAGAGCGTCGGGGCTAGCATCCCCCCAGCACAGCGTGCCTGGATGTGAACACAAGGGAAGGAAAGGTGCACGCAGGAGTCATGTTGCACCAAAGAGTTTCCCTAGCTGTCTGCAGCAGAAAGATACCTGAAGCTTTGCCAGTAAGCGCTATCCTAAGTAAGGAATCTCGAAAGCTGTGGCAGGCACGTGAAGAGCAGTGTTCAAGGCTACTGCTCCAGTGGAATGAACTCTCCTGGGAAAGCAAGGAGAGAACAGTCCGAGGTCAGAGCACAGACTGTTCTGCTGGGGAGAGGGGAACTCACACACATCCACAACAGATAGACCAAGTGCAGTTTCACTGGAGGAAATGTCATCAGCTACTTCAAAAACTACAGCTGCTATTTCCTTATATGTTAAGCTCACTGCATCCCTCTGTAGGGGCAGTCAGAAAAGGGGATGGCAAAAACTAAGGGGTCTCACAAAAGCAGCAGAACATACAGTGGGGATGTTCTGGGGTTACTAAGAGGAGTACAGAAAGCAAGAGACAAATGCTTCACCTGCCATATTCCTCCCGAATGATCTTCAGCACTCGCCGCACCATGTTGCCCACAGTAGTCTCCGATGGCTGGGCTGCTGTCATCCGCTGGCCCTCAGTCCGGATCAGTTCCATGAGCTCCCCTGAAAGAGAAGATGACCATGGTTATCATGGCACAGAGCTAACCTGTGTGAACTTCAAACCAACCCTAAACAGTTCTGGAGCTAGCAGCTGATTCAGGCACTAGTAAAACAGTAACACAATACCAAGAAAAAGTACAAAGTTCTGAGCAAAAAGCTCAGAACCCTAAGAGGCCATCAAGAACAGATAATTCTGTAGGATTCTTCTATAGTATGAGTGAGCGTTCCCAAGTATCAACTTAGATGCAAAGCAGACTCAAAACTGTGAAGCTTATAAAAGATCCTAACTAGTAAGTTTAGAGAAAGGAAACTCATCTGCTACTAAAGTGATCAGCAAATAGTCTGCTTTTACTGAGTTTCATTAATAATACCACATATGGGATGAAGATCACATTAGTTAAATTCAGAGAATGCTGAAATTAAAGGATCTGCGAGTGACAGCCACAGAACTCCAAAGAGGCTTTCACCAGGAAAGAACATAGAAACAGCTTGTGTCACCTCTACAGAGCAACGGGCAACACCTGAAGCCTTCCACAGCCAGGCTGTGGCACCAGTGAAGTCAGAGCGACCCGGAGTGACGAAAGGAAGGAAAAAGAGCGAGGCCAAAGCAGGAGGCAGCCTGCGCTTCCTCACTGGCTGCTGTCGAGAAAGGCGGGGGTTGAACGGGGCTCGGGGGCGGCTGCACGGACGCCTGGAGGGCAGCGCTCCCCAGGGGCCCGGCCACGGCCGACCTGAGG